TGCTGGTTAGAAATTTGGGGACAACCAAGGTTCTTTTGTTTTTAAGGTAGCAGTTGCACCTATACATATTTCAGAGGGCAGGTTCCACCTGTTGGCTACTTACTAAGGTATCTTACCTAATAAGGGGAGAAAGTGGAAAGCTGTTGAACAGAGTTTGTGCCTGTCTCCAATTTTCCCAAGTCATGAATTTCCTGGGGCAGGAGTCACTCACCCCTCTCCTTTCCATGGGCAACACAGGCCTAGGGCAGTGGTAGCCTGTCACTCTTTCCTAAAACCCTGCCAAGGAGGGCAGTCTCCCTGGTTGTCAGGGTATGCAGATGGGGCACAGGGGCACAGGAAGAGGATTGGGAGGGGTGCCAGGACAGCCAAGTGACATGGACAGGACTGGGGGAGGCCTAGGCCAGAGAGAGGAGTTAGCATCATGATGGCCCAGCCTGGCCCTGACGCCCATGCCAGGGAATGGAGAGGAAGGTTGCTGCTCAGCCAGTGGTCAGGTAGAACCTGATAACGACAGTAGAAACTGCTCTCAGCAGCCCCGTTCCTTCAAGTCTCCAAAGGCAGAGGCATTATTGGTTAAAACACAGATGTTAGGAATGATCCACATGTGCCTGCTTAGGGAGGACTGTTCTCTTTGCCTGGAACCTGTGGCACCAGACATGAGTAGCGGTCTCAACCTTGCTCACTGTTGGGCGCCATAGTGTGCCTGTCATCTGAGTGACTCTGTTCCGAGAATGAGTAGCAACCAGCCTGCAGCTCTCACTCTGGCCAACATGACATGCTATTTGTCAGAGTTCTTGCCTGCATGTGCTTGAATGTCACAGAGCCTGTGAGTTCTGTGCGTATAAGTGGTTGCCCATGACATTTGGAACAAAGAACCAAGTCCATGCTAAGATCTGCATCCTCTTGTGGACTGACCTCAACCTGGTGTGAACAAGTCCGACCTACCACCTCTGTAGTACTCACCTGGCCACCTCCCCTCCTGACTTTGGGACTGGTCAGCTGTCACTGGCTGTTACCATTCCTGGCATAGCACTTGCCAGTCTGTTTGACTTTTGTTTGTATGAGTGTGCTGTTTCTGGCCCTGCATGGCTGGCCATGAGGGCTCTGTGTACCCTTGTTTCCTGGCACCTGGCCTGGCCGGCACTGGGCTGCGGTGAGCATCACATCTGTGGTGGTAGACACAGGTGTTCCTGCACGTAGGCACATGGCTCTTACCCACCCCATCCTCTCGACTCCATGGTGGTAGATCTTATGTGGAGTCTCCATTTTACAGAGAAGTAGCTGAAACACAAAGAGCTTCTCAAAATTCCCTAAACAGCTGAGCAGGATGCAAAGCTGGACAGTCTGGCTCCAGCATGGCGTCTTGACGCATAGAGCATTCGCTGAGCCTTAGGTCTGTGGTGCAGGGACAGGGCTGGGCATTGGGATGGGGACTGAGCCAAAGGAGGGTGAGTAGCATCCCCTTGGGGACCTAGTAGGTAATGGAAATGAGCCCAGCAAGGGAGCATAGTGGGGATGCAGACAGAGGGGCCAGGGACTAAGCGTGTAGCCGGATGAGAGATTGGAAGGGCTTACTCTGTGACCACGGAAGGGTGGTTGTAATGGTGTCTGACCTTACTCCCAGAACTATGGAAGCAATCTCTTCTTGCTGCTGCCTGCTCCCCGGGGACACACCCACTTGTTAGTGGGAGCACATCTACTATGTCTGACTGAGTCCCCTTAGCAGGCCAGGAATCTTCCTGCACCCCACCAGGATGGGGCACTTGTCAGCACTGGGCCTCTCTGTACTGAGAGCAGCTGGAAACACAGCACTCTGAACATGTTGGTTACCCTTAGCACAGCCAGTGGAGACTGGGAAATAAGGCTGCCACTTTCCTTGCCAGTGGAAAGTCCAGGGTGGGACAGGCCCAGAACCACACCTCCTCTTTGCTGGGAGAGCTGGGTCTGAGGCTCCCCCCCACCCCCTGGTCTTATGGGACTTAGAGGAGTTTTTGTTCCTATCTGCAAAGTAGGAGCTGTGACAATTCGCATCACAGGACTCAACAGGACACTGGAGTGGGACAATGTGAATCAAAATGTTTTTGAAGTATTATGTGCTGAGCAGACCACAGGGCTGCAGAGGTGGCTCACATATTTTTGGACAGTGCCCTACAGTGAGTAGGGTGGATGGGGTAGGGGCACAGGAATTTAGGGAGCAGTGTCAAGGCTAGGGTACAGGTGTTGGAGAGAGAGTCCATTGTCTGGGATTTCACCTTCCATATGTCATGGGTTGTTTAAGGCAGGGCTGGCCACACTTGAGGCTGCTTTGTCCACAATCTCCAGCACTGGGTAGATTCATTGGGTTATTTGAAGAGCTATTGGCCAGGTATAGTGGCCCATGTCCTCTAATCCAGCACTTGAGAGGCAAGGGATCACAAATTCCAGCTCAGCCTGAACTGCACAGCAAGACCCTGACTCAAAAAAAGAAAAAGAAAAACCATTACCTCCTGGCCCTGGTTCATATTTTATCTGACATTGCGTTCTTGCACAGCATTCGGGAATGCCATTTTGCTGGTACATGTTCTTCTTGTGGGCTCCAGGAAGAAGCGACAAGAAACACAAAGCAAAGGCTCAGGGCCACACGGCACAAAGGATGAGCCCAGCCTCACGTGTGCTAGGCACCCACTGTACCACTGAGCACAGCCCAGCTCCATGTTTGTTTTTTATGGTAATGAATGAGAATGCATAAGGAAAATGTGAAAATGGAAACAGGGCCAAATCCCACCATGAAAAGCATGCCTCAGTAGCCCCCAGGATGTTTCTCCTGTCTGATTTTTTGTTGTTGTTTCTGTTTCCAGTTAGTATGATTATTTCATAGGCTGCAGTTCTGTTGCTTGTGTATTTTGGCTCTCGGAGGTTTTCATTTTCTTACACTTTTTCTGGGTAGAAGGGAGTTTTTTTTAAAATGTAGAATGAGAGAGTGTCATGGAATGAGCCATGTGGGACTGTGAGCTGTGCCAGGGTGGCAGGAATGAGGTGCTGGGTCAGATGTAGGGGCCACGAGCGGAAATGCAGGCGTGGGAAAGGGTCTACCTGTAGAGCAGTGGTGAGCCTCGGTGTGCCCGAACTGCTGTCACATGTCTTGAGACGTGTTCTGTTTCAGCATTTTCTGCCATCTGCCACTAATTGGATGAGAGTATTAACTGTTCTTCCCTAGTTCTGCGTAATTTGAGACTTTGGGAAGATGGGGCCTGTGATTTGGGGGGGTCACTGTGATTTTTTTTTTCCCATGCATTGGAAAATGACCTTGGCACACAGGTTTCCTTCACTTAGCTGACATAAGAGGGAACAGTGTTTGGTCACTGTGAAACATGTGTCTTTGTTGTTTACTTATTTATTTATTTATTTGGTGGGACTGGAGTTTGAACTCAGGGCTTCAAGCTTACAAAGCAGGTGCTCTGCCTCTAGTCCATTTTGCTATGGTTATTTTAGAGAAAGCATTTCCAGAGTTAATTGCCTGGGCTGGCCTCTAACTTCAAGTTCTGCTCTCCCCCAGTCTCAATCTGCACAGTAGCTAGGATTACAGGATTGAGCCACAGGCACCTGGATGTTGTTTACTTTTAAAGAGGGGAAAGGTGAAAGGTCCGTACTGTAAGCAAGCATTAAAATACAATTTTAAGTGGACGAATGGCAGTCGCTGAATTGTGACACCTGCCAATGTTGGTGTTGGTCCCCTGCTGCAGGCCTGTGTATTGCATACAGCCTCCAAAGTTTTAGAGCATGATTGGTCCTCAGAGAAAACTCTTTCATGTGACTTTTAGCTCGATTGCCAGTGGGCCAGTGGGAGCGGGCCACAACACAGGCCATGAAGAGTGTCATCAGTAGCATGTGCCTGAGTAGCTGAGGGCTCCAGAAATCAAGTGGATTCCAGTGGGAGGCAGCACATGGTCACTGCAGTAGCCATTCTGTTCCCCAGGGCACCTGTGGGCACCTGGGTCAAACCCCACACCAATTTACAGATCCAGGGTCAGGATGCAGCCAGTGGAAAGGTGCAGGAGAAGTGTGCGCTCTTCAGCATGTGTGCACAAGGTGTGCAGCCCAGCCACAGCCAGCCTTCCTGGGAAACAGCCTGGCTGGGTGTTGAATGGCCTCAAGGAGTGTGTGATCTGCTGTGATAGTGGCCGTGTGTTGTGTTGGGAAAGAGTCCTTGCATTTTAGAGGTGCATAAGGGTATTTATCTGTTTCCAGATAGTTCTGAAACAAGATTTGTGTGACTGGTAATTGATCTGAGATAGATAAGGGACAGGTGGAGATTGTTACATTTTTATGTGTTTTATTTATATATTTGAAATTGTCCATAATAAAAACTTCAAAGGTAGGAAAAAGTAGTTAAGCTACTCCTTTTCTGTTGCCAACATGGCAGAAATATCTCCAGGCACATGTTGCATTACAACTACTTCTGGAGTATGCACATATGAATAATAAAAGAAAAATGAAAAAAAAAAAAAAACAACTACTTCTGGAGTGTTGCTGCCATCACTGTCCTGACTTGAAAGACTTCAGTCTGGCACTGCTGCATCTACTCCACTCAAGTGTGCACATGGGGATATCCTAGTTCACCAGTCTCCCATTTGATTAATCTGCAAATGCCACTTGGTGTCCCTGGTGAGGGACCAGTCATTGTCTGCTGACAGCTGCTCTGTTCCGTGCATTTCCATCATCAGGGACTCCTTTAATTAGGAGACTGCAGCAAGATAAGCTGTTGAGCAATTTTCACGTTCGGTAAAAATCTGTTTGCTTTTGTTGTCAGTGGTAGAAGATGTGTCCAGCTGTGGCTGGGAAATGCCATTCCCCTTTCTCAGCTGGGCACAGAAGGCGCTGCATTGGCAACATGAAGGTTGGCGCTTGGGCTGGTTCCTTAATGCTCTTGCTGCCTACACGGATGCCTCCTGCAGTGGGATGGCTTGGTGCTGGGCTTCAGGTGCAGTGTCACCCCACTGAAGGTCTCACTACTGTTGCAGACTGGGCCTCTGCCATCCGAGTTGCTGCTCTGGATTGTGCAGAAGAAAAGAACCAGGAAGTGTGCCGTACTTACAACATCCACTTCTACCCCACCTTCAGGGTAAGCCGCCAGTCACCTCTATGATCTGGTCCTACCTTTTTCCTCAGTGTCTGGCTTCTCAAACTTTAGTAGGAATTTATGTTCCCAGCAGGTTACCTCTTTGTTCCACCCTCCTAAGTCCCAGAAACCTGTGTGTGTGTTTGGGGGGGGGGTGGTGTCACAGCCTCCCCACCCACACACCTACACCCATACCCACACACACCCATAGCCCCCTCCACAGCCTGCATGGCCGGCCCCCGTGTATGTGTGTCTGTGTGTCTGTGTGTGTGCAGAGGGTGCTGTGCTGCCAGGTCTCTTGTCACAGGGTATTGCTGTACCTCCTCCCAGCACCTTGCTGTCGTCCACTAGGGGGCAGAGATATCGGCTGTGACCCTGTTGAAGGCCCAGTGCATAGTATATGCATGTGTAGGAATGTGCAGCCATAGGCCTGCACATGAATCCGTCATACTGACAGAAACACCAAAAGCATGCAGTGCCTTTGGAGGTCACACCTAACTCACCAGTGGTCCAACCTCTTGAAGCCCCGAATCTTGGCCATGCCCCACCCATGTTTATCAACTGGAGTCTGCCACTCTGTCACCAGTCGACCTCACACTGCTGCACAGTGCCCAGCCTCACTGACCACTCAGGCCTGGGTTGCCCCTTTTGCTTCCTTGTCCTAGTTGTAACACCAAGATAGGTTTCTATTTTATTTTGCTTCTCACTTCACACAGAGGTTGTATTAGGCAGTGTGTAAACTTCTGAGCTTTTTTCTTTCACTTAACATAATTTTACCAAAATTCATGATTCTGAGTGTGGCCAGTAAAGTCACATTGTGTGATGGGTGCCCAGACTCTTCCTGGCTTTTGCTACTTTGAACAGCACTGAGAGCCTTCTCACACCTGCAACAGGCTCCCCCTGGTGGGCCCAGAAAGAAGTGGCTGGTCCAGAAGATCCAGGGATATGAGGGCACAGACCCAGTGGGCCCAGCCTCTCCCACAGCTGCTCTGTCCACCCACAGAATAGGCACAGCCTGAAGTACACCGTGGTGGTGTCTGTGTTTCCCTGGTGACTAGTGGCAGGCATGCCCATGTTGTGACACATCTGCTTGTGTCATTTGTCCATCTTCATCTTGGACCGTTTATACTTTCTTCCTGATGTATAGAAGCCTTTGTGTATACTCTTTTCACTTGTGAGTATTGGGCATGTTTCCAACCAGTTCACAGCTTGACCTTCCACTAGCTTTGATGTGCCTTTTGATGAAGAAAGTTCTGAATTTAGCCTAATCCTCTTCATCTTTTCAGAGGTACTGGACAGTGACTCATCTTCCCTATAAATTCTGTGTTGTCATGGCTGCCAATCCAGGTGGATCTTTGATATTAAGAACTGAGGGAAATGTTGTCTTTTATGATTCTGGCCTGTCAAGTTGTCTTGCCTCTTGTCCTGTTGGATCAGAAATACACATAATGGAATTTTGATTGGTGCTTATACATCTGGCAGGAATACTGGTGTCCACAGGGATGGAGAAGTGTGGTTTGTCCTCAGTCACTATAACTTCTAAAGGACTTTGCCATAAACTCCTGGTAGAGATGGTGGTCATCTTGTAAGTGTATGCTCAGACCTCTCCCTCCCCAAGGCTGTTTCTTACTTGTGTGTTTTTCCTCCAGTATTTTAAAGCATTTACAAAGGAATTCACAACTGGAGAAACTCTTAAAGGTAAGGACAAAAGCATTGTGTTCTCATCTCTTAGGTGACCTCATAGGCCTGTGAGCATGGAAATGGCTCCAGGATGTGAAGTGCCTGTGGGTGTTTCCCGACCCCACCTTCAGCATGTTTGCGCCTGCACTGTGCTGGTTGCCTTTCTGTTAAGAGTTCAAATCTTAATAGTTTTGGTGAGAATTTCTTATTTTGTGCTTTTCCTTGCTTGGAAAATGTGGTGGTAAATTGAAGAAACGTTTGGAGAAGCGCATGAATGGCACATGCATGTCTCATAGATTTTTAGTAATGAGCAGCACCCCAAGACCTGGACGTGACTGGCCCTGCTGGGTGTCACCAGGGAGACACCTTCAGTCTCTGGCGTCAGAGCTGATCTGCTATGTTAACAGTGTGGACAGAATCAGCATACCTGGCCTCTCATCTGGTGCCATGTGTCCTGGTAACCTGCTCACTCTTGGCTGTCATGGCAATGTGGTCCCCCATTGTGTGAATCCACTGCTGTTTACCCTGCGCCCTCTTTATGCATCTGCTAGGACTAGTGTGCATGGTGCTGCTGCCTACCACACTGTCCTTGGGTCCTAGGGTGGGGCAGGCTACTTGGTGGGAACAGATGCACAGTGAACGAGGTCTGCTCCTGTAGGACCTGACAGGGAACTGCGGACGGTAAGACAGGTGATGATTGACTTCCTGCAGAACCACACGGAAGGCACCCGTCCCCCATCCTGCCCATCTCTGGACCCGATTCAGTGAGTAACTCCACTAAAAAGATGGCCTGTGGTACCAGGGGTGCAGATTAGTTTTGGACCACACTCTTAGCAGGTGGGAGACCCTGATTTAGTTTCCAGGCACACACACACATACAGATTTGCAAGACATTAAGGTGAATGTGATTTTGTAAAGTATTGGTGTAAAGTGCAGGCACTGGTGGGGTTGGCAGCAGCTCATTATGGACAAAAGCATTGAGAGCTTTTCTTTTTTTTTTCTCCCAAAGGCCCAGTGATGTCCTTTCCCTCATGGACAGCCGTGGTGGCCGATACATGGCTGTCATGTTTGAAAGCAACGGCTCCTATGTTGGACGAGAGGTGCTGTATCCACATGTGCTCCAGGGCTGTTCTGTTGCTGACATGGCTTCGGTTGGAGCTGTGGTCAGGTTCATGGGCAGTAACAACCACTTGGGCATCATTGGTGTGTTCCTGTGTCGAGTTCTTATTAGTTAGGGGGATCCTAGAATGAAAGTGGAGCCTGTCTGTATCTTTCCTTAAGGCCGTTCTTCTTTCTGTGCACTATTACTAAGGTTATCTCTTGACTGTACTCTGAACTCCATTTTTACCACAAGATTCTGTAAATCCTTGTTTCTTTTGTAAAGCATTGTTTTAGATTTTTTTTTTTTTTGGTGGTTCTGGGGCTTGAACTCAAGACTAGGCAGGTGCTCTGTCATTTGAACCATGCCTCTAGCCCTGCATTGTTACACTTTGACATTGCATGTATGGTTCTGAAGCCTTGGACGCTCACCAAGTGTAAATAAAACCAGGGAACCAGAGACAGGGTGGCTAACAGAGATCAGCTAATACTAAGAGTCCCTTGGCGACAAGAAGTTGTTCTCCTGGTCCATGTGAGCACTCTGCACTGACCTTTGGGCTCCCCCTCCTGCCACTTGATTGGTGACTTTGTCATTTGGGCAGCTTGGGAAGAAGAGGAACCAGCTTTGTCTTTGGACCCTTTGGAGATGCAGGGGGAGGTGACAGACAGCAGTGCTGTGACCACTAGTGTCACACTCAGCTGCCGTCCTGGCACCTCACTGCCAGGTTTGGGAGCAATGTCATGCCACCTTCTCCGTGGTTGGCCAGGATTCTGTCAAGGGGCTGCCAGAACATTGTTTTCCCCAACTTCTCTCTGTTGCCCAGGGCTTCCTTGTATTTGAGATGTCTCAGGCAGTGCTCTCATGACACCCCCTGCACACACAAGACAGAAGGAGGGGTTCCTCCCAAGGGAGGTGGATGCAGGCCCATCTTCTCACCTACGACCCTCTTCCCACAGCACTGGCACGTTAGTGCCTTCAGGTTCAGCCAGGCCCTGCTGCTAGTGACCAGGGGTAGCCTAAGAGTAGGATCAAGAAGAGCCACAGTGCATTTGGTGCACACCCAGCTCACCATAGCCTGTGTCTCATCCAGGAAGTAGCTGGCCTTGTTGACATCTAAAAGCACAGAGAATCAGACTCCACCTGCACATGGTGATGGATGCATACGGGGTTTTTCTAGACTCTGACATGCCACTCCTGTGGTCCCTTTGCCATCAAGATCTGCTGCTGTGCCTTCAGCCTAAGTAGAGCTGGACAGGCACAAGTCACTTGTGGGAGGAGTGGCTCAAAGCTGCTCAGCTCCTAGTCCAGCTGACAGCCATACTGCTCCCTATGCTGTCAGCCTCCAGACACAGGCATGCACTGCCCAACTCATGGACAAACGGGTAAAGCCATGGGGTAAAACCGAGGAAGAAGTGCTGAGGGTGCTTACTTGATTACCCTGGTTTTTAGTTCAGTAACGCTGGAAAATTGCTAAATAAGATTGGTCTCTACCCGTGGGCATATGACCCATTGAGTTGCTTAAAATGCAATAAAAATTAAGGTGTAAATACTGGTCTCACTTGTAGGGACGTGAATGCAGAGTTACTGCAAACAGTATTGCTGCTCATTTCCATAAGCTTGGTGCTTTGTTACTTATGTTGCTCTTGGTGTCAAAACTGCATCTCCTGCTGCCCACTGCTTGCAGGGGAGGAAGGCTGCCTGCCATGCTGTGTGCTAGGGGAGCTGTTCTCTTGGCTTAGCACCTTTTGGGTAAAGGGTTGCCTGGGAGGTGTGAGGTGTATACACTGTGGTGTTCTCTGAGGGAACCACCATCCTCAGTGACTGTAGCACGATTTTCTCCTTTTGCAGGTGATCTTAGATTTGATTCCTTATGAGAACATTGTGGTGAGCAGAGCACTGGATGGGGACAAAGCATTCCTGCAGTCACTGGGCATTTCTTCAGTTCCTTCCTGTTACTTGATTTACCCAAATGGGTCTCATGGACTAATTAATGTGTAAGTGCTAGTTTGGCATAGGGAATATTTGCAGTGTTCAGTGGGGTCTTGGGAAGCTCATGCCTCTTTGCCATATGGTGCAAATGCTCAAGAGTCCATAGGACAAGGAGAGTCCAGCGGGCTCAAATCCAGGGAGGCTTTGACCTGGCCGCCCACATAGGCTTATTCTGTCCATGCCCCAGACTCTAGAGCACTTGTTGTCTGTACTGTGTTTTCATGGACTTCTGAACAAACCCCAAATCCAGCATGTGTCCATTGGTGCACTCCTGAGCCCAGCTCTAGGATGGCTGATCTGTGTCTTGTCTTTCACTGGTAAGCACAGGTGCCCCTCTCTCCAGAATGAGAGGTGAGGGTCATCCAGGCTGTGCCCTCATGGTCCTCTTTCCTCAAGGGGAGAACAGAAATGCTCATGTGCCCTCTGTCCCTCTGTCCTGTGCCTGTGTGTTCTGATAGACCCAATAAAGTAAATTTGAGTGAAGATACAGAAAGCAAGCAAAGAGGAAAGTCGAAAGGCCCTCAACCTCAGGAAGGCTGTGTCCTTCTTAGGTATGCTAAGTACAAACCTTGCCATCTAGCAGGTATGTGCTTAGCATCATTTTTCCAGCAGTTCCTGCTAGGTCACCACACTCAGGCCACTCTGAGTGTTGGGAACACGCTGAAAGGATCCCGCACACATGTCCTGCCATACGGGGCTCTGTCTTAGCATCTTCAAAGGTTGACAAGGCAGTGAGGGTCCTGCCAGAAGCCCCAACACACCACAGTTCCTTAGGTATACATCCTTTTAAAAAGAAAAAATAGTGAGGCATGGTAGGTTATGCCTGTAATCCTAGCTACTTGGGAGGTAGAGAACAGAAGATCATGGTTTGAGGGCAGCTTGGGCAAAAAGTTAGGAAGACTCCAGTCTCAATCAATAAGCCGGGCGTGGTGGTACACACCTGTGACCCCAGATATGTGGAAGAGAGCAAAGAGGATCATGGTCTGATGCCAGCCCCGTGTCAAAACGTGAGCTCCAATCTCAAAAATAACTAAAGCAAAAATAGACTCAGAGAGTTGGAGGTGTGACTTAAGCTATGAAGTGCCTGCCTAGCAAGTGGCTTGAGTTCAAAACCTAGTACTGCTGGAAAAAAAAGATACTGAGGGTACCTGAAGTCATCAGTCTTCTTAAGATGGGCTCCAAATGGCCCCACAACTACCATTGGGTTCCAAAGACTGATGTTTGTGTAGTGCCAAGTGTCATAGGTACAACTCTTAACACAAAATCACAGCAGTACTTTCACAGCTAGTGCTGCCGCATTCTCTTTGGGAATGACCATAATTTCTGCACGCCTTGGATGTGTCTGAGCTGAGCTACAGTGGAATCATTCTAAGTGCCGTCTGCCAGGTACCCAGAGTGAGCCATGGGGCCAGCCCAGCAGACAGCTCAGGAGATGCTGCCCATCAGGCTTGGCTTCCAGATGCCTGCCCAGCTAGCAGATTGTGGGTGTGTCTTTGGCATGTTAGAAATCGCAGTTGAGATAAAGCTGATCTTGGCAGGTGCTCAGACCAGCTTTACAAACATCTTAAGTGCCACCAGGCTCAAGTGAATCGTAATCCATGCAGCTTTCATTTGTCTATGATCTGTGGGTTCCATGTTCTGTTCTTCTCATGGGAGGGCAGCTCCTGAGGCCAGCTGTGGCCAAGTGTCCACTGCCACCTCTGCCTCCCAGACCCCCAACACGTGCCCAGAGTAAATCACATCCTCCAGACAGTGGGTGGCTTCAGCCCATGGGACAGATACCTCAGCTGAATGGCCACAAAAGCGGCTCCTGGCATGGCGTCTCCACATCTCTCTCTCTCTCTCTCTCTCTCTCTCTCTCTCTCTCTTCTCTTCTCTTTTCTCCCTCCCTCCCTTATCCCTCACAGCGTGAAGCCTCTCCGATCATTTTTCTCCTCTTATTTGAAGTCACTGCCAGATGTGAGGAAAAAACTACTTTCCTTGCCTGAAAAGCCTAACAAAGAAGAAAATTCAGAGGTGGTGGTTTGGAGAGAGTTCAACAGGCAAGTATTTGTGTGGCAAAGAAGCCGGGGTGGGGTGGGGTGCAGTAGAAGTGGTCCTGCAGGGCACGGCTCTCAGATGCCTCTGTGACGCTGGTCCTGCAGGAAACCTCCCTGGGGACTGGGGCAGGAGCAAGAGGGGAACTTGTGTACCTGATTTTCCCATGTTCCATCTCAGGGCCAAGCTGTACACAGCCGACCTGGAGTCGGGTCTGCACTACCTGCTGAGGGTGGAGCTGGCTGCCCACAGGTCCCTGGCTGGAGCCGAGCTGAAGACTCTCAGGGAGTTTGTGACTGTCGTTGCCAAGGTGTGGGTGGCTCTGCTCTGGCTCTAAGCAGGGTGGGGATTCAGCCGTTTGTCAGCTGAGGGGCTCAGCCCACCTAAGTTACATACTCTTGCCTTTCTTTCAGTGGTCAAGCCTGTGCTTTGACTCCTTGGGCTGTATTTCTTCAGTGCCTACTGCATGCCTGAGGGAGGCAAGGACATAAGCTAAGCATGTATAAAAGGCTGGGCTCTGCCTGTCTGGAGACGGATGGCAGGAGCCTCCGAAGTCCCTGGGTGGGGAAAGCTTGGTGGGCTTTGAAGGGGTGGAGGCTAAACAGAGCCATAAGACATGCTGGTGTGTGTTGTGTGAGTGGAGCTGGGGACCTGTGCCCATGCCAGGTTCAGGGAGGAGTCCTTATCCCCACCATAGGAAGAGAGTTGGTCCCTGCTGTGTCAAGGGTCAGGCTAAAGACCTGAGGCCACCCATGACCTCCCAGAAGCCGTGTAAGGCTTCTGTACACGATACTAAACAAGCCCTGGGGGAGGATGAAGGGAGACCTGGCCAGGTTTGGGGGAGGATGGAGGGAGACCTGTCCAGGTCTGGTGACTCAGCAGGGCTGGTGGACTTCGTGTAGTAGGTACACTTCTCAGGCAGCCCTGTATGAGCAGGTTGGAGTAGTGTGCAGAGCTGGCGGGTTCAGACACCTCCTAGAAAGCAGGACTCAGGGCAGGGCAGGAGGGCCCAGGCCAGGAAGGGTGGGGAGGGCACAGGTGGGAATTTAGGGAGAAGATGGGCAATGTGTTCAGATGCCCTAGGAGGATGGCCATTGTTCACACAAGACAATGTCTACCTTGAGTGGTACATGGGGTAGGTGAGATGCTCCCGTTAGCTGGGTGCAGAGATGAGAGATGTCATTGCAGGTTCCCACCAAGAACATCTGGGTCCAGGGTTCAGGATCAGTGGCTGTTGTCTTTTTCTGGGTCAAACAGTATGTTAGTGGAGCTGTGAGAGAGAGGCCATCCCACTTCCCCTGGGACAAACCCAGTCCCCCATTCTATTGGCTGTAGCAGCACTGTCTGGCCTGGATGTGGTCCTGCCGATGTCTGACTTCAGGGACTGCCTGACCCCAAACTCCCCATCCATGCACCCCACTGTTGGTCACAGAAACTATGTCTCGTGGTCACAGACATAGCACTGGACCCCCAGATTACTTGGTCCGTCTAAAGGACAGGGAGCTGGGTTTTGTAGGACTTCTCTTGCCAAATGGAAGGCCCCAACAGAACTATTTATATTAAACCATTTGAATAGTCAGCATTATACAGACAGTATGACTTTTGAAAAATAAAGGAAATAGAATTTATATTTAAATGAGTCACGTAAGGTTTCAGGTGAATAAGTGAAAATTGTTCAGAGATTTTTTTTTTAACCTCATTGTGGCATTTGGACTTGAGGCAGATTTAGCTGGCCTCATTCCTTTAAGAAAGTGTCCTGCTAATCTGCCCGTCCTGTCACTCTGGGTAGTGCTGCCCCATGATGGCTGCCAGCCAACTGATTGGCTCTAGTGCACAGCTGTTGCCCATTGGCAAGGTCCTTGTCTCCCTGGATGTGCAGGCTCTACATTTCCCTCCTGGTCCTCCTTGCAGTCAGCCACAACTCTCGAGGACTTACGTACATGGTGCAGAGCAAGGGCCTCATGCGTGAGGGAGCGCCTTAAATCAAGATAGCAAATTATTGTTAATAATTTTTCTGAACTTCCTTAAGTGTCTAAAAGCATTTAATATTGGCCAGTTGGTAGTTGTTTTGCTGTGTTTAAATGTGCGCTCTGGTCTGGCTGCTTATTTTAGCCTCATTGTCAGTAATAGGGCAGCTCAGGTTTCCAGCATTCTCCCAGCATCCCTTATGCTGCCTGTACATGTGCAGCATCCTCCTGTCCTCCCAGTTAACTGGGAGGCAAAAGTGGGAGGCTTGAGGTCCAAGATTGCTGGGCTCCTGTTAGTGCACTATTGCTCCAGGCTGTTGGGTTGCCGGTCTCACTGTCATGAGAAAAGCAGGATAAGTAAGCAGGCAGTGAGTGACCAGCGAGCCCTTGACAACTTCGTAATGTCACACGCTGTGACAGAGGTCTTTCACCACGAAGTAGCCACCTGGCACGAGCCACGCATAGAGACACAGGTAGACAAGATGCAGAGGATGGGGTGGAGAGTGGTGCCGGCTAGACGTCTGCCCTATACCACTTGGATTTCCCAGCCTCCCATTAGAGGAACCTTGGTTCTGAGAGAGCCCCTGCATTCTAGGTTAGCCCCCAGCTAGGTTAGCTGTGTGGAGTAGGGATTATGTTGGCGTGGGACTTAGTCCTGTTCTGTGGAGCTCTACCTCCTCTCCTGGTCACAGCCTACTCAAGGTCCCCCAAGACGTGGGTGGTGCTTTTCCTGACCAGTCTCTCAAGCTGGGTCTTTCCTCACTCAGCTGTTCCCTGGGAGACCTCCAGTCAGGAAGCTGTTGGAGACGCTGCAGGAGTGGTTGGCAAGCCTCCCCCTGGACAGGATCCCCTACAATGCTGTCCTCGACCTGGTCAACAACAAGATGCGGGTGAGCCCCAGACCCCTGCCCAGCTTGGGTGCCCCTACGGGCTGCCATTCTTCTCATGTACATAACACTTCTCTTACCTGCCTGGGGCACAGGACCCAGAGTCTGCAGTGAGGAAGAGGAAAACCACATTTGCCTGCAGACAGTAGTCTTGGCCTTGACATTGCTGTGAATACTTTGGTGCCCACAGCGTAGGCCCTGTTCCCTATGTGGAAAAACCTCAGTAATTTTTTTTTTACTTTTCTTATTTCTGTGACAACTTCACGTCACTCCCTCACCTGTGCAAGACTGGCAGGTCACTCTGAAGGCCTCGTTTAAGGACAGTCCCCTAAGAGCACCCTGTGATCCATCCGGTGGGGAACGAGTGCTCCCTCAAACAGTGCAAAGCTGGGGCTTTTGGGGTTTGGGTTTTTTTGGGGGGGTGCAGTGGGGTTGATGAGCCCAGGCTGGCCTCAAACTCTCATTCTTCTGCCTCAGTTTCCCTAATATGGGGATTACAGGCTTGTGTGCCAGCTTGGTGTTTTTGGGTCTTTTTTGGCATGACTGGGGTTTGAACTTAGGGGCTCATGCTTCCTAGGCAGGCGCTCTTACCACTTGAGCCACTCAAGCCACTCTGCCCGCCTTTTTTTTTTTTAGCTTCACTAAACTCTTCTAAAGTTTCTACCTAATGGCAATGTGTTTGGTGAGTGTGGCAGCCGCTGGAGGCTGGGAGGCTGGGCAGCAGCACATGTGGGCCTTCCTTCTCAGACCATCCTGCCAGGTAGCAAAGCTCCCTCCTGCTGCTCCCTCCCCAGCCAGACTGGGACTTCTCTCTGGCTGAGGTTTGACAGTGAATAGTAACCCTCACTGACTATCCAGCCTTCCTATGGTCAGTCCTCGTCTTTGCCTGACCAGGCCTTCTGGTCAGGGGCATCTTTGTGCCGCCATCTTGCCCTGGCTGTCACGTACTGTTGCACCTTAGGCACATATGGTGCTGCATTGCCTTGGTTTCTCTTCCACCTTTTCTCTAAACTTCGGGTTGCAGTGCTGTGGTGCCTGGAGTGAGTGGAGTGGGCTCAGTAGCTCTTGGCGGGAGGCAGGAGAGGCTTGTTGTGACACACATTGTCCTGGGTGGGTGCAGCCTGTCTGCGGGTGTAGCTGCTGCGCCTGCTGGGCTCGCTGCCCTGCATCATGCCACCTGCTCACTGCTTTTCCTTTTTTTTTTTTTTTTTTTTTTTTTGGTGGAACTGGGATTTGAACTCAGGGCTTCACACTTACAAAGTAGGCGCTCTACCTCTTGGGCCACTCTTCTGGTCCATTTTGCTCTGATTATTTTGGAGATGAGGGTCTCGAGAATTATTGGCTCAGGCTGGCCTGAACCTCAGTCTTTCTGATCTCAGCCTCCGATTAGCTAGGATTACAGGTGTGTGCCACCAGCGCCTGGCTCAGCCGTTCACTTTTGAGAAGCGAATGCACCTTGTTAGTTGAAGTTTTTACTGTTAGTTGCTTTTCCTCATGATGTTTTCATCATAATTGATCCTAATGTACCAGAAAGGGTAGATGTCTTTTATGCTTAATATTATTCACTTGTCAAAGTACAGCTAGAGGGGTGGGGGGTTGGGGGAGAATGATAGAGGGGGTGAATCTAATTAAGATAAATTGTAAGCACATGTGCATCAAAACTAACCTCCCTGATCAACTAATATAGGCTCATAAAAAATCAAAATAAATAAAATAAAAACATACAGATAGACCTGCCCTTGTGGCCAAATATTGAACAAGAGCAGGAGCAGGCTGCCTCACTGAGTTCTCAGAACTCCTTTATTGGGACTTTTATTCTCATATTTGCTTTGAATTGGGTGTGACCTCAAGTGCCCTGTGCAGTGGAGGGTTTTTTTTCTTTTTTTTTTTTTTGGCAGTACTGGGGTTTGAACTCAGGGCCTCACACTTCCCATTTACTAGGCAGGTGCTCCACCACTTGAGCCAGACCTAGTGAGGAAGTTTTGATGAATGGTAGGCTAGTGTACCTACCACCAGTCAGGGGAGGCGGAGGCGGGAGTGGGGGGCATCTTGCAGCTGTTTTCAATTTTAACAGCTATCTTAAGTTCTTTGTGGCTTTTTTTTCCAGATTTCTGGACTCTTCTTACCAACCATGTGAAGTGGGTAGGATGTCAAGGCAGCCGACTGGAGCTGAGGGGCTACCCATGTTCCCTCTGGAAGCTGTTCCACACTCTAACTGTTCAGGCCTCGATCCATCCGGAAGCCCTGGCCGGCACAGGTACACCATCTGTCTGGCCAAGGTGGCACTGGCTACCCGACCCCCTGACTGCATTGGTGCGTGTCATGTGTCACGACAAGCACCTGCAAGGATTTTTTTGTTTTAATATCTGTGAGATGTGTCATCCAGGTGCTCAGAGGCCTTTGCTAAGGAAGAGGGTAGTGAGTGTCTTTTCAGAATGCACACACGTGTCGTGCATGACACATTATCTCCAAATTTAACAGCACACCCTAGCCAGGGACGGTGGCTCACACCTGTAAATCCCAGCCACCAAAGAGACAGAGATGGAGGCCAGCCTGGGCAGAAAGTCAAGGGGTGTAACTTGCCCTGAGTTCAAACCCCAGTACTGCCAAAAAAAAAAGGAGATTCCACTGTCAATGAATAAGCCAAGCATGGTGGTGTGCACCTGTCATCCCAGCTCTGAGGGAGGGTGTAGGTAGGAAGATTGTGGTCTGAACCTGGCCTCAGGCAAAACCAGGAAACCCTACCTAAAAAATACTGAAAGCAAAAAAGGCCGGAGTGTGGCTCAACTGGTTGAGCTCCTGCCTTGCACAAAGTACAAGACCTTGAGTTCAAATCCCAGTATCTCCTCCCCATGACCCCAGAAAGAAAAAAAGCCCACCTTTGTCTTCTTACAGTTTCTATGGGTCAGAGTCTGGGTGTGGCTTAACTCCACTTCAGTCTGATGAACACGTTTTATCTGAGGCTCAATTGGGGAAACACTCACTTCCCAGATCCCTTATTGGTGTTTCTTGCCAGTTGCACCCCTAAGCCCTCAGGTCCCTGCTAGATATTGGCCAGAGGCTTCTCTCAATTCATTTCATAGGGGCCGTTCGTATTGTGGCAGCTGGCTTCATGAGAGTGAGCTGTAGGAGGTGTGTGTCTTAGTGACACCTGTCATCTATGCCATCCCTGCCTGTAGGAAGCAGTCACTGGGCCCACCGTGCCCCTGAGTAGAGCAGATTACACTGGGCCTGAGTTTCGGAGGCAGAGATAGGAACATCTCAGAGGCTGCCCACCACTAGAGGTTAAAAACTGTAAAGCCCAAAGGTTGGGTTTAATACCAGAATCAAAGTTAGCAGCTGCTCCCCTCACAAGGTATGTGGGGGACTTTGTGTCCACTCTGGACTTCCTGTGTGTGTGTCCCTGTTCAAGCAAGCCCCTGGTAGCCATCAGAATACGTGCTTGTATTTTAGCTGCTAAGCTTTAGTCTCAGGGCCACTCATGTTTTCACTAAGCCAAACAAAGCAAGCCTTTTGATTCATGAAGTCCAGCACATTCGCCAGAAAGAAAACTCTTGTAGTTACCGTACCATAGTGCACAGTGCACAGTGCTGTGGTTTATGAGACTGACGTGCTGCCTACTGCGCTATTTGCTCACGGTTCAGTTTGGTCTAGGCTGGATGGATGCTTTTTCTGTTCGTGAACATGGCTCTTTCCTGTGACTATGGTTGTCTGCTCTTTCCAGGGGCCTGGGAGTGGTTCTTGCTCCCACAGCCCAGCTCCGTCTTCTCACCAGCTGGTACCAGGGTTAGGAAGGATCCTGCAAGCCTCAGCGAGTTGTTATACTGTCTCCTTTGGCCACATCCTGTTGGTCCAGACCAAATTCGGGGCTAGGAAAAGAGATTCCACTTACTTATAGGAGAAGCAGCAAAGTCATATTGGCAAAAAGACACCTGTCCAAGATTAGGGACCATCTTTCCCTGTCTCTCCTCAGGGCAGCATGGATCACTGTTCCCTAGGGTCTAGTGGGGGAGATTGGCTCTTAACTCCACATTCTTGTGGGAATCAGAAAAAAGTGTGTTTTGGGTGAGAAACCTCAGGAGCTTTCTGCACAGATACTGAAACCAGAATAGCAGCACTGCGTGATTTTGTGCAACCAGACCATTCAGACCCATTGTAAGTCCCACGCCTTGCGGGTATGAGGGGAAAGTTCTGGTGAAGAGGAAGTGTGCACCAGCCCACAGTACTCCTGGTCTGGGTGCTCCTGAGAGCCCTGAGGGTGTGCGCAAGAGATGGCGCCCTCTGAAGGCAGAGCAGTGTGGCCAGCGGCACAGTTCCTGGGACACTGGGTGTGGCATGTCAGACGGTCCTCATTCGGCAAATAGCAGCCCACACTCAACAGCCTAGTACTCGTCTCCCATCAGTATGACCTGACGCCATCTCCACAGAGGGGTCCCTGCCGAGGAACTGGGTCAGACACAGGATTAAGTCTTGGAGGCTTTCGTTCCTCATTGCACGTTTAAACCCCGTCTGCTAAAGCGCCAGCCGCACTCTAATCTTCCTCCAGGTAGAGGTTTATGATTCTTGTCCACTTTAAAGATTAGATCGCCGAGCGGGCAGCAGCTTGGCGGGGAAGAGGAGGGGGATTACTGTGATGTGAGGCAGATGTCTGGAGATCTCCTGGTGGGAAGAGGAGGCCAGACGGCCTGGTCACAGCCAGCGTCTGCATCTTACCCTGGGTGCTGCTCAGTGTCCACAGGCAGGCTCAAAGCCCGTGAGAGTTGGAATGCTGAAGTCCATCCTCTCTGAGTGACATCAGTGCAGGACTTGGTGTAAATCCAAAGACTCAGACCCAGGAGACTCTTGGTGTTGACAGGCAGGCTCTGAGCATGCCCACTGTGGACAGACACAGACTCCGTCCCAGAGCGTGGGTGGTCTTCACGGTCACTTTGCTGCACTTCTCTTAGTGCTGATTCGTAGTTGGCTTTGATCCCATCTTCCCTTGTTTACACATCTGCTTGCACACTCAGCCCTGTGCCACCATCTTCGGTTTCCTTCGCTTCTGGCTGCTTCCTTCTACTGTGGGGTGTTTTTGCTTTTTGGAGTACCATTTGGTTTTCTTTTTCAGCGTCTGCTCTGTGTGCCCATCCCGTTTGCATTGCATTGCTTTGCACACAGCCTTGAGCAGTGACCGTAGATGCTGGGCTCTTTTCTTTTCTTTGTCTTTTATTTTTATTTTTGAGACCAGGGTCTCACTTCGTAGCCTAGGCTGGCCTGGAGCTTGAGATCCTGCCTCAGCCTCCTGAGTGCTGGGATTACAGGTGTGTGTGTCACCATTGGACTGTTTTCTTTTAAAACCACCACATTTTCGGAGGCTCAACCTTTTCAAAGAATGAAGGCCCTTCTCGGCCTGTTGCCCTGTCACTCACCCCAGAGGAACTTGGCAGCTGGCCAGTTGGTAACTGCTGCTGCCCACCTATCAGGGAAGATTGTCCTGGAAAAGTGCTCTCCAAGGCCAGACTCTCTCTTGGTGTGTTTTCCTTGGATTTGAAAACATGGCAGCTCAGGCTCAAAGTGAGCAGCCTCAGTGCCCAGTGCCATCCTTGGGAGTAGCTCATGGGTCATGAGAGGTTGCACACAGCTGACAAATCCCAAGGAAAAATCCCTCTTTGGGATTACATCACTTTCTGGGTCACGAGGCCAAGGAAAGACAACCAGGAGCCTGGTTGAGGGGTGTTAGCATGTCCTTTTTTTAAGTATTCGTGGTCATAGTGCTCAACCAGTGTCTTCATGCCAGTGAAGTATTCCCTGTCAGCTGTCCTCATGCAGCCCTCTGTACCTTCCAGTTGTGTTGGGTATCTGGGGAAATGGTGGTTCCTGGCTGTGTCCACAGTCTCCTCTGTGAGGACTCTTGGTTTGCCTGTGTTACATGAGGCATAGGGCCATTCCACACTCTCAGATGGCTTGGGCAGACAGACAAATCAGGGGTTTGGTGACCAGAGGCTGGGAGCACCAGGACTCTTCTTCCTCCTACAGGCTTTGAAGATGACCCCCAGGCTGTGCTGCAGACTGTGAGGAAGTATGTTCACACCTTCTTTGGGTGCAAAGAATGTGGTGAGCATTTCGAGGCGATGGCTAAAGAGTCCATGGACTCAGTGAAAACTCTCGACCAAGCAGTTCTCTGGCTCTGGAAGAAGCATAATGCAGTAAACAGCCGCCTGGCAGGTGAGGAGAGCCGTGCCAAGTGAGCAGCCTGGAGGTGTCAGCGCGGGGTTGGGAGGCGGGGTGGATCTCTGTATCCTGGGGTGTGAGGTCAGCATGGACACAGTAACAACTATCTCTGAGGCCCCTCACACTGCTAACCCTCTGTGTGTGGCATGGCCATCCTCCCAGGCCATTGTGTCCCTGGTTGTCCAGCTTGTTTCCTGGCTTTGAACTCCTGGCCCTCATGGAAGCTGACTTTCCCTCTGGTAGCCCACTAGGCCCTCCACTCAGTGGGGGTGGTGGAGAAGGAGGGTAGTAATTTGCACACTGGAAAACTTGGGATATAATTTTTGGTAAGGAATTTTATTATCTTTAAATCTGTTCTCAGACTATAAGTCTAACCTCTTAAAATCTAAATAGGTCACATGCATTTTCTCAGAGTTAAGTAATTCAAACTATTCCAAAATCAATGGCAGATTAAAATTAGGCTTAAAAATAATTCCACTGAGAAATAAATTTAATAGAGATAAATAGAAAATGCCCTGCACTATTGGTTTTCACTTAATCCACTGTGTTATAAAACATATTACAACTAAAGCACTAAAGAAAATTGGTTTTTCTTTGCACTAAGAGCTGATGGTGCCTTTTGTGTCTGTCCCTGTCAGCTGCCATCTCAAGGCGCTGCCACGGTGGCCCTGGCTCAGGGATTTCTCCTCTCCCAGATGCCTCTCAGGTCTCCCTCCCCTCCCTCCCCTGAGCCTGCCTCCAACTGAGCTCTGTGTGCTCATCCTGGGCACTCAATTTTGAGGCATCTGGAATAAGATGCCAGCTGGCCTTGCCCTGTCCAGGAGCTGTGCTGTCAGCTGCCCCCATTATTAGGCTAGAGTAATCGGGGGCTTTGTGGGACAGTGGGCCTCAGGTGCATAGTAAGGAAGGAGGGCACAGAGGTGAGAATTCTGTGGAAGGGAAGGAGCTGGGTGGCTCATGGCAGGGCTTGGCCAGGTGACTAGCAGATGGGGCTGAGTATACAGGGTCCTTCCTTTGCGGGTAGGCTTAGGAGCCTGCCAGAGAGAAGGGGGCATGCACAGGGTGCCTAGGAGACCGGTCTGGGGCCAGCGGGAGCAGGGAGCCATCCTCCCCACTGCATGGATGGAGCGGGGGTTGGCAGTGGAGCTTTGTGTGAGTGAAAGGTCTTCCCCATTGTGCTCTCCCCTTTTCCCTCCTAGGCCATCTGAGTGAGGACCCCAGGTTTCCAAAGGTTCCGTGGCCCACTCCAGACCTCTGCCCAGCCTGCCATGAGGAAATTAAGGGCCTAGACAGCTGGAATGAGGGTCATGTGCTTACCTTCCTAAAGCAACACTACAGTGGCGACAATCTTGTGGACACATATTCTGTGAACCTGGGCGATCCTGGTGACGGAGGAGCCCTGGGCAGGGGACAGGTGGAAGACAAAGGACTCACATCCCCAGGGAAATCCCAGAGAGAACAGGATGCTGCCGGTCTCCATCTGCCCCACGTGCTTGATCCCAGAACCGACCTTCCAGAGAGCTTACGCCACCGGCTGGGCCTGAGACTGCACAGTCCTCCTGGGCCTGGGGCCCTGGCGGAGGTGGAGGCAGCTGCACCCTCTCTCGGGGCGGGCTTCTCCAGCCTGGACATGAGCCTGTGCCTGCTGCTGTACGTGGCCTCGTCCTTGTTCCTGATGGTCATGTGCTGCTTCTTCCGTGTGAGGTCCAAGCGGTGGAAAGTCCGGCTCCACCACCCAGCTGTATAGACCGCCTCCCAGGCCGCCACACAGCACAGACACCTTCGGAAGCCATCCTCCCCGCCACCCACAGCGCTGAAGTTTGTGATAGGGATTTTGTAAACGTGCCAGACATGGCCCTTGGAGGAGCATGAGTGACTTTTGTGGAAACATCTGCCTCCCTGGCATCTGACCCTCACCTTTCCAGCTCCTGTGGCAAAAGACTTCTGTGTGTTTTCTCTCCTAGGTCAGAACAAGCAGGTACAGGGCACCGTCTTCCCTTTGAGGCCAGCCACGGTGCCACAGCAGAGCCCAGACACAGTGGCCTTCCCTGGTGTTTCATGCCCTGGCAGCCCCTGAGACAGACTTCATTCTCAGCAGTCAGATTTGTACATTTGGGCTGTGTCTGTTCTTGCTTGGATAGCAGGTTGTTTCCATGGAGCTTGGCCTTTCAGCAGAGCAAGAAGACTCTGGTCACCTCTTGGCCTGCAGGACATTTTACTCCAAATGGGAGACTGCAGGATGCAGAGGGCAGCAAATTTTGTGTCTTTTTTTGTATCTCAAGAAATAACCTAGCCAGGTGCCTGTGGCCCATGCTTGTTACCCTAGCTACTTTGGAGGCAGAGATCAGGAGGATTGTGGTTGGAAGCCAGCCCTGGGGAAATAGTTCACAAGACCCTATCTTGAAAAACCCATCAGAAAGAAGGGCTGATGGAGTGGCTCAAGTGGTAAGAGTGCCTACCTAGCAAGCATGAGGCCCTGAGTTCAAACCTCATTGCTGCCAAAAAAAAGGAAAGACCCCAGGGCTGTAGGAAGTAAACTTGAGGCTTAGAAGGGGCAATGTGGTGGCAGTGCCGTTTTGTTTCTTCACTGGTGACAAGAGACATCAGTGAGAACCATCCCAGTCCTGGGGAATTCTGGGCCAGGTGTGTGGGTAGTGGTGAGAGCAGGGTCTGCCTGAGGGAGGAGTGGGTAAGAACTGGTCTGTAGGGGAGGGGAGCACAGTCCCCAGGAGACCTACAGGATCCCTTTGTCCTCTGTGTCCCTGTCTAGCCCTAAAGGAGGCTAAGGACATCGGGCTCAGTGGGCACTACAGGCCAGGTTCCCTGGCCTGAAGCTCTTGAGGGTCCCACACAAGTTCAGCCTTTCCAGTCCTTGGGAATAATTTTTTTAACCATTTAACAATTTAAACACAATGCTTGTAAAACCCAATTACCTAGTAGTAAATTTGCCTCTGAAGACACAAGCAAAACAAACACACAGTTTCAGGAATATTTCTGCCTGGTCCTTTGTGGCCATTGGTTTTTCCCTCAAGCTTCTTTTTATTTGGATAAACTAGGCTCAGATGCCTTTGCACGCGTGTGGACGCGTGTGCCTGGGTGACTAGGATAGTTGTAAATACTATTTCCACTTTGCCTATTCTATGTTTTATAGTTACATGTTTCCTAACAACAGTTGGTCACATGCGTGTCATTTAAGACCCTAAAATGTCAGTGTCACTGCTGCCACTTGAGAGATGGTCAGCTGTGTTTTGGGGCTGACGTGGGAGAACTGGGTACAGAGGCCGGCAGCCTTTGGAGGGCAGGAATGGCCTCAGTGCCTCAGCTCAGCGCTCCTTCTTCACTTCTCTGCCACAGGAGGCTCTTCTTTGATGCTTTTAACCCCTGGAATCCTGGGTTTTAGAAAATCACAAGCTTGTCTTCAAAGCTGCTTGTGTGTGGGGTTACTGATCTTTGAAGGAAGTACGCAAACCCCCAGTTAAACTGCCTCTGCATGGTGTCAAATGCCTTTTCCCCAAAGGAAGTTTTACTGGTGTAATTTCAGGTTGTGTAGTGCACCCTTACGGGTCTGACCTTTGCAGAAACCTATATTAGACAAAGCCACCTGTCAGCTTCCCTCATACTGAGCTAAAGGTCCCCACTCCCTAGGGACAAGCCTGCCACTTCCTGAGGGACGCGATTTAGGCAGAGTATCCACTGGGTGTGTTGGGCTATCCCGCAGTGAGCAGTTACAGCCCTCACCTGGCCTGCTCAGACAGGGGTGCCACTTTAGGCAAGGTGTAAGGATTATAAGATGTATTAAGACTAACAAGTACGTCATTCAATAATTTAAATGTTTATTTATTTTTAATGGAAAGATTTTGATTAAAAAGAAGCCAATTGACATGGAAATGTCAGTGAAATTTCTTACCAGAAAGGAAAGTGAATATTTTGTATTTAAGTAAACTATAATGTACACATTTTAAGAATAAAGAAATCTGACATTTGAGAAAATGGTCACTGTTCTTTTGAAATACGAGCTGCCTCTATGGTGAGATGGCGTGGTGGAGTGTGGACCCTTCCTTTCCAGCTGAAGTTTGCAGACTAGACATCTGAAAATCTAGAATTTCCAATATTGAACCAGAAGCTTTTTTGGAGACAGCCCAGGGGTCAGATGGAAAGTGAAAGATGGAGAATAGATTATAGATGATCTCCTTGAGCTCATCTGGACTGAGACAGCTACAAAGCCTGCACCCCTAACTTTACACAACAAATGGGTGTAAATGGTGGCTGAGCTGCACAGAATTACACTATTTTGGAGTGTTCTAGCTAGAGGTGGCCCTGTTTAAGGGAACCTCTGACCCTAGGAGCTGTGAACCACTTATTTCGGTATTAAGTGCAGAAGCTGGTAAGTTCCCCCATCCCTAGCTTTTCCCTGGACTCTCCCACCAAGAGGTCCTGCAGACCTGGTGAGCCAGCCTGGGTCAGTGTGGCCCAGCAGGTTCCTTCTATCCAAACTGAGAGCTCAGGCTGAGGAATCTGGGGCAACCTGTTTGAGGCCATGTAGGAGGATGCAGATTTGATCACAGGTGCCTTTTCCTCTGGCTGCCAAGGGGTGGAGAAGGGGCAGGGAGTGACCAAATGCAGAAAGTTCTTCAAGGCCAGCAGCAGCAGTTAAAGTTCTCTGATCTGTGCCTGCAGGAGGGGGCTTCTGGGCCTAGGGTCCACTCTGTCAGCAGCCTGGGCACTGCCTTCCTGAAGGCTGAGAACCAGGAGGGTAGGGTCCAGTGCCTCTGGTCCCTGGGACCTGCTTCCTGCAAATGCCGCTCCACCCAGCACAGCCTGAATCCCAGGGCAGAGATGGACAGGGAGCAAGAAGCATGCCTTCTCTGCGTTGTCAAAAGAAGGGTAAAGGTCAGTGGACCCTGCCCAGACTCTGCAAACTCAGAGGGAAGGACGCGGGTCTGCATCCGCCTCAGTCAGCCTAGGCCCCTGCGAGGTCGGGGGGCGGGGACAGGGGAGGGGCGGGGGCGGGCACCAGAGGGGCCGGCGCGCGGACGCCTCCTTCAGCACCGCGGACAGCGCCGGTCCAGCGCTGGGCTCTGCTCTGACCGAACTTGGACTTGGAGAGCTCCAACACTCCAGTCGTCTCCCACTCGGACCCCGACCCGCGATCGCCATGCTGCTGGAAGCAGAGCTCGACTGTGACCGAGAGAGGGCTGGGGCCCCTGCTGCCACTGCCCTCTGTACCTTCAGCAGGACTCTGGGTAAGAGCCGAGTCCCCAGAGGCCTCCAGCTGGAGCAGGAGGAAGACCAGGAGAGAAGTAGCATCGGTGGGCAGAGGGGCCCGCTGGCGGAGGGACAGTCAGGGGGCAGCTTCAGGGAAAGAAAATGCAGGGAGACAGGTAGCAGGATATGTAGAGGTGGTCAGGAGGGCCTGGGAAGGTGCCAGGGAAGTCCAGAGTGAGAACCACCAAGTTCTCTCAAAGACTTACGCCCCATAGAGTAGCCCCAGCTTGCAGCAGGGGACCCCAGGCTAAGACGCCCGCCCGAACCGTCCTCCCCAAGGGCCATTTCATTGCCACAGACGTTGGGAAATAATGGAGGCATTGTTGGCAGTCGGCCAGATGCCCAGAAGCATGGGGCCGCCCCTTCCCCAGCCGGCCACACATGGCCCTCCCCTCACCGCCTCTGCAGCAGCTGACGCTCAACACAGCCCACACCCCGGCACCCACTCGACTCCGCTCCAGGGTGCCCTGGCCCTTCTAGAATAACAGAAGCGCAAAGGGGCAGAATGTAGCACACAGGCTCTGCTCACAGCTGAGCAGCAGTGTGCTGGGGACCGGGAGAGAGGGCTGTGCTCTTCCTGCACCCTTCTTTCCCTCCCTGGGACCTTAATGCTCACAGAAGTCGCAAGCAGAGGGAACCAGTAGGGGACCTGGAGGATGCATCCACCTGCCTTTCCCGGACACTTCACTGGTGTCTCTGCAGGCTGCCAGGGTGCACACTGCTGTGTTCTGTCTATGGTTTATGCACGGGGCTGGTGCTGGCTGGTGGCTGAGTGCCATGGGCCTCTGAGCAGGGGTGGGAGTCTCTGTACATGCAAGGACGGGGTGAGTTCTGTTGGGATCACCTGCTTAGGTTGGGGCAGGACACTGGAAAATCAGGTGCAGGAAATGTTCTGTGGAGCTAGAATGCTGGGAAGAGAAGCAGGGGAGAGGAGGGGATCCTGGGGCTCCTCCAGCTCAGTCCCTTCGGATCCACTCTTGGCCGCGTGTCCAAGCCAAGGTCACTGGGCTCCTTCCTTGTGCCTGTTCAGGTGGGCAATTCCAGAGGTGGGACCCAGAGTTCGGGAGGTTTGGGGTCACATCTGGCTCTTTGCCGCTGCACTGTGAGGCCACACTCACCCTCTCCGAGTTTCTTCGGACTGCGCTGCTGCGGACCAGACGTTGTCCCGAAGACTCCCAACTCGAGCTCCCAAGATCAAACCAGAGGCAGGAGAACCAGGCTCCCTCCCTGCTGCTTCTCCCGGGACCCGCAGCCCTCCCGGTGCCCACTTGAACCCAGCTGGTAGGGCAGGGGCGAGCGCCTGTGGGCAGCCTTGATCCAGGTTCTCCCTGCCGTCCCGGCTCTCGGCATGGGCACGCAGGGTGGTGTCTGGGCACCGCGGGCACCGTCGCAAAGGCGCGCAGAGCCCACAGTCGCCTCGGGCGCGGCTCCGCGACCCCCGGCCCCGCCCCGCGCCGCGGCCCCGCCCCCCGCCGCTCCGCCCTTCGCGCGGTTGGAGGCTCCGGGCCCAAGGCGGCCCGCGGGCGCAGCGCCCAGCAGATCTACGAGTCGCTCGGACGTCAGCTCCGGCCTATTGCGGCCGTGGCCTCTCGGGACCCAGGGGAAGTTCACGGTCAGAGGGTGGCGGCACTGGCACCAGGCCCCATGGAGGCGCGCGGGGAGCTGGACCCGGCCCGGGAGTCGGCGGGCGGCGACCTGCTGCTGGCGCTGCTGGCGCGGAGGGCTGACCTGCGACGAGGTGGGTGCCCGGCGGAGCGGCTGCCCATCCGCCAGATCCGGAGGTCCTCCGGCCTTTCCCGGCTTGGGCGCGGAGGCCAGCGGGAGCCAGGGGACTTGGGCAGAAATGGGTGCGAGGCCCCCGCACGTCTGTGCTCGGGCGCCCCAGCTGCGAGCGTGTGTGTCGGAGGCCCCTGACGCTGGGTTGTCGGGCGCGTGGTCCTCGGGCCAAGGAGACCTCGGTCGTCCCGCAACGGTTTAGGAGACCCTCAGCAGCCCTGAGCCGGGCTCCTTGCAGTGGGGGTGCAGGGAGCTGTTGTGCGGCCCACTGACCACAGAGCA